CGGAAGAGCAGGTTTCCTATGTTGAAATCCTCAACAAGCAGAACAGGGTCCACTCTAACCTCTGCACTGAAGCCATGCAGCATCCTTCAGATTCATATATACCTTGTATGGTTTTATGTATGCGTGCAAGTGCATAATTTTTATGTGATTTATATATAAATGTTGGAGCCTGTTGTTTCAGTCCCACCTGAAGTTTCTGTAACCCTTTACAAGTGTTCAGGATGGAAAAGACATAATTCCCCTCTTCAAGGATAAGCATCCAGAGAACTACAGGCTCGACAGCCTCACCCCCAGCCCCGGGCAGGTGATGGAGCAAACCCTCCTTGAAACCATTTCCCAACATATGAAAAAGGACAAGGAGGCAATGGGAGCAGTCAGCGTGGATTCACAAAAGGGAAATCATGCCTGAGCAGCCCAAGAGCCTCCCTCAATGAGAGGACTAGCATGGTGGGGGGCCCCTAGCAGCAAGGGGCCACAAAGGTGACTGAGGGACTGGATCATCTGACATAGGAGGAGAGGCTAAGAGAGCCTGGGCTGTTCAACCTGGAGAAGAGATGGCTCAGGAAGATCTGATCCATGTGCATGAATATCTGATGGAAGGGTATACAGAAGACTGAGCCAGTCTCTTCTCAATGGCATCCAGTGACAAGAGTCAATGGGCACAAACTGAAATACATTTAAACATAAGGAAAAGCTTTTTTCACTGTAAGAGTGATGAAACATGGGAACACGTTGCCCAGAGAGGTTGTGGTGTCTGCATTGGAGGTATACAAAACCAGACTGGCAACAGTCCTGGGCAACCTGCTCTAGCTGACCCCGCTTTGAGCAATGGGTTCATCTTGATTATCTCCAGATGTCCCTTCCATCTTCAACAATTCTGTAACTATGTGCTCCAATATATACTGCAGTGGAGCCTACCACAATGAAGCATTTTCCTGTTGAGAGCAGACACAAAACCATAGTGGGGCATAAAAAGATCTTATAAAAGTCAAGCACGCTTTAAGAAACGAAGTTCAGCTTTCAGTATGAAAGCACGACAGCTCAAGGAAGCAAACGGCCTTCCCTATAGGCTGAAATACTCCTCCTTCACAGCTTCAAAAGCATTGCTAAAATACTGCAGTGCCTCTAGAGTTCAGAATGACCCCCACGACTTTTAAACAACTCCAAAATATATACCCAGTACAATCCTAGTCTATGGAAGAAAAAAAAATACAAACCCCAAACCAGAAAATCTGCAAAAACCCAATCACCTCCAGAAACATTAAGTCCATTTCAGGCTACCTCACAGAATGGATACATTCCTTGAGAGGTTCTAATTCATCCTTTGCCACAGACTTCATAGGCAGCCTTTAGGAGAACAGCCTCTGGGTCTCTATTCCTTTCTTCTAAGCTTTGCCTACCATATCTACCTAGTCTGTCCTAGTTTGTGGATTATCATCTCTGTATTTCATACGTTTCTAGTCTAAGTGATGCACTGCCAATCATTTTCTGCCTTCTATTTCTAGCTAGATGCAGCGTCACATTACATCTCATCTATATTAATGGCCAGCTGCTGCCAAAAGTAGTAGTCTGACCTCTTCCCACCACTCCAGTGTGCTTCTGCCACTTGTGCTAGGTCCAGCAATCAGGAAGCTGCAGCATGTGCTGGTTCAGCAAACCAATCTCAAAAAAACCTAATACTGGTTTTCCATCCTACCAGTGAACCACAGTACTTATCTTGGGCCTTTGCAATTGCCAGACACTGCAAACAATCTAGAGATGAGTTTGAAGCTAGACACATGGAGAAGGGTGTGTGGCAGGACATCAGGAGTAACCTTTTCAGTGACAATCTGTTAGCATTACACGTAAGGTAAAAGAGCATCCTATGATTAAAGAGTTGTTTCAAGACAATTACTGCAATTCTTGATTATTCAGACCTATTTCCTTGCCTCCAAGTGATCATGACTCTGATCAGGGTAGAAGAGATGGCTTTGAGGGCATTTGCTTATAAAAATTTCCTGGCAGTAGTTAAAGATCATATGGCTACATTGGTATCATCAAATCTTAAGTCCTAAGCTATGGTATGTCAATATAACAGCAATTCCTGTGAAAAAGGATAGCCCGGTTCTTCAGCTTTTCGTTTTCTGCTGCAGCAATTCAGAGAAGTAACAAAGCACTTTTTTGCCTCAAGGGCACTCATGGGAACAAAGAGCTGCTACCTATAAAAAGATAATGGTATCCAAGGCCCAGTGGAGAAAAACTATGGGATACTTATAATATACGGTTGACACTCAAATTGTTCTATGCATAGCACCATCAGAAAATATAACAGTGAACATTTGTTGTGGGTTCAAAAGAATTAAAAAATCATTCATGAACTCCTCACTCACGTACAACTAGGAAAAACTCAAGCGACCAAGGAAGTCCTGCTGTATGGATACACTGTTGAGCACATTTGTTAATGCTCCAGACGAGCAACTTGAAGGAAATACCAGTTCTGAGATATGAAGAATACGAACCTTATGGTAAAGAGAAAAAGACGACATTGAGCAACAAAACATCAGGCTTGGGTGACACCAAAAGAATCTGTCACTGTTTTTATTCCATGTGTATTTTTAGGAGTCTTGGGAAAGACATGCAGAGTAGGTGTTTTCAGAAGGTTAGTGACACTTGCAGCAACAACCAAGCCAAAAAGATCATACCAAATACATTCTCCAGTGTACGGATACGGAAATAAACGGAACTGAAGTTGGACAGTCTCTTTCAGGCACCTTTGGACTGTCAAGTGATGAACCTAGTAGACATATCAGACAGAAAAATACCTAGATCAACAGTGTTACTCTGACAACAAAAACTCACTGGACTCTAGATTACTATAATTTGTGATGGAAGTTAAATGGTAAAAGTAAAACTGAATTGGCATCATGACAGGTTTATTTAATGCAAACAGCCTTCTGGAGACATCAGTTTTACACAGCTTATTTTTGAACCCACTACTTCAGAAGCAGAGGTATGCTTCCAGGCAATCCCCATTTCTGCAGGCTGGCAGGAGATTTTCGTGTCTCATTCCAATGCTTCATAGCTGCTTGGACTGGAATGGGATACTCCAAAATGTGAAAGCTGTGGAAGTAACACACTGAGTTTTCTCTCTTTACACTTCTCCTACAGCCTGCAAAGAAACACCTGAACAGAACTGACAGGACACTACACACTTTCACTTCTACCCACAAAACTACTGTTGTAATTGCTAACATCTTTCATGCTGTTTAATATAATCAATTAATAATGAAACATCTTAAAATTAGCAGTATCTGCAGTCTCTACAAGACAATGACAAACATACATCCCATTCAAATTTACTCAGTTATCTTTAATAGCTCTTTAAGCGTTACATAAAACAGTTAAAAACTAAAATTAAATTTTGTCTATATTGATAGCAATAAACCTGACAAATTCATCAAGTTGATGCTCAGCTCTTTTGAACTCTGCTACAGGAAAATACCACAGTTAACTTCTGGGTTGCAAGTTGCTTGCTTTAGCAACATTTGGGGCACAGAAAACTTTAATATTAAACTGCCAAACAAACCTTAAAATGCAGCAGTGTTACCTATTTTATAACGACACAAAGAATGAAGCATGAGCACCGGGTAGAGAATACACATAACTACCTCACAAATGATGTTGAAACCACATACGTGTATATTAAAGCTACATTTCACTAAGCAGACTAATTAAAAGTAAATTACTGATATGCAAGTAGTAATACATATTCTGTTATAACATAACTCACATTTATTCCCAAAATGCAGATATACAGTTACATGAATAATATTCAAAGAGGGCATGAAAACTGAAGTTTTGAATACACAAGGTTTAGAAACTAACTTTGTAGACCCTGAAGTTCAAGTTATTTGAGAACAGGAGCTCAACAGCTAAAAAATTTTGTAAGACCCATGCCTGAACTGTTGAAGTCTTAACACTGACTGTGGCAGCCATTTAATAAACTCTCCTGTGAGCTAAGCTAAGTGATTGCCCGGAGAAAATGACTAGTTAAAATGGTGAAGAACATCCTTTACTCAAGAGGGCATGTGTCCCTTTTCATAAACAGGTATTTCAGTGGAAGGCTTACAGTTCCAACTTGTCCCTCTCTCCCTGTGTTGTATATCAAAATAACCTAAGTGTCAGACAATGGTCTGCCTCATTTTTACCTTGGGAAGAAAAGAACAACATACTGAAGCAAGAAGGAAAAAAAAGACACTGCTGCCCCTCATTTGATGGTTTTACATGTGAACACTTCTATAGCCAAAACTACAGTGACATCCAAGCCCTTCTGCACATGAAATGGAAGCTTTTATATACATGGATTTTTTTTTTTTTTTAAATTTGATTGCTAAATGAGAAAATTCTTTTATTTCCAGAACACAAAGATGAAGTGCAATGTTTCAGCTGACAGATCTCAAACGTGTATATCTAAGCCTTGAAACTACCACCTTAGCAAAGGTCCCCTGACTTGGCCATTCCCTTCCTAGTCTTGATTCCACTTAAGAGTTTATAAAGTTGACTTTTTCCCCCCCATGAGGACAGCCAAGCATTAGAACAGGCTGCCCAGTCTCTTTCCTTGGAGGTTTTCAAGACCAGACCTGGAGACAGCCCCAGGCAAGCTGGTCAGATCTCAGAGCAGACCCTGCTGTGAGCAGAAGGTTGGACCAGAGACCTCCTGAGGTCCCTTCCACCCCAAATTATCTCATAATCCTGAGCTTTGAGATTTTGCAGGTAGCACTGAAAAACTACTTATTTCCTCACTTCCCTCTCCCCGCCTGCTTCTTCTGAGAAAAGTATTGGATAAGGTTTGGTTCTATTTATTACTACGTAATTAAAAAAAAAAACAACACAAAACCTAAAAAAATTCAGCCTCAGTTTTTCTGGAGAAACTGCCTGATCAAAGTGCCTAACTGGCAAGAATCACAGGTTGGGTTTTAATGCAGCTGACTCAGTCCTGTATCAATCTACCTAAATCTCTTCACCAGGAAAAGACTGGAAAGGGTAAGCAGATGATACACAGTATTTCACAGGGGATATTGTTAATGTGGATCTTTCAGATATTTGGTTTGCAACATGGCTCCCTAAATCTGCAGTGGCACACCTGAGGGGAAACAAACGGCAGCCTTTCTTAAGTAGCCTTTTAAAGTCAGTTTTGCCAGTGAAGTCACTGTATCACCTGGGGACATCTTCAATATTGTGAATACTAGCGAAAATTCTTAAATAGAAAGGTATTTCAACTGCACCTCTAACAAAAGTAGCAGCTGCTACGTTTAAAAAAAAAAAAAAAGCAGTGATTCAGGGGAACATAGAAGGCTGAAGGATGTTGGGTAATGACTCTCCCTGCAGTGATTTAACCTTCTCCAGCCTGCTATCTACTCCACACTTCTGTCAGAGGTTATCATGCCACAGCAGGAGCAACAAAGCGAAGGTGCACCCAAAGCAAATCTGTACGAACTTACAGGCTTCCAAAGAGTGATGCTGTCATGCTTTCCTTTCTGCCACACTTGCTGTAGAAGGAGTAGCCTCCAGCAAGAGGAAACAGCACCTTGAAAGTCCGGGGGGATGACACGGCAGGACAGAGAGGTGACAATGACGTAAGACCGTCAGGGCAGTTTCTGATCACCCCATGGATCGCTGAACTAGAGGGACTAACTACCTCGCCATCCTAAACACTCACACCCAAGGTGAGTGCAAACCTCTGCAAGAAGTACTGAAGAGCAGATGTAGCTACATCTTTCAGGGCTCCAAGTCAAAAGAAGAGATAGCACACTTTAGGGTGGTAAAAGCAGCTTCTGTCCAATGGCTCATGACCATGCTGCTGCTGAATCATCTGCTGAACTCGCACACTAACTTAACATATTTACAATAAAGTGGAACTGATTCTTATTCTCCTTTGAGCAGAGTAGATGACTGGAACCAGGAACCACCAATTGTTTCCCAGGATAGTCATCCCTGCTCAAGAACCGATGTGCAGTGACTTACCTAAAGGACGGAGTCATCAGAAAAACTAGATGAGCAGTGATGCTATAAGACTCACGGAGGAAGACTGCTAGATGGAGGAAACTGCAGCCAAAGGAGAATGCCTCGGTTGACAGGACATTATGCTCACTAGAACTTCACCAAGAGAACTCCCATTTTCAAGAAGTATTACGAAGCACGACCACAACAGTTAATCAGAATACCTTCTGTCTTATCTGAAGCATGGACATTTCAACTGGACATTTTCTAACTATTTATTGTTCATTTCCATTACAAAGTACAGCATCAGCCTCAACTTCTTGAAATATCCTGAAATTTCTTACTAAGAAAAATTGGAAGTCTATGGAGTGATCATATCATACCATAGGAATTCAGATCAAATCGTATAGTCACAAGCCAAGCACCACAAGAAAACAATTTGTGACATGAATGGACTGACAGTGAAATATTAATACAGACTGGGGCTTCTAGCCAGGAAAAAAGCTCAAGAAGAAACTAATTTTTCAACAGTTCCACTGCCTACCTAAAATCCCTCCACTGTATTAGAAAGAACTCTAAGTCCCAAGCAGTAAGCCCACAAACATCAATATTCTATCACACACAAAAAAGTCCACGAAACTCTTCTATTACAACCGAAAAAAACCCCACTCTTTTCCAAGATTAGAAATGCAGAATGCTAAATGCTATTGTTTTCCCTTCAATAGCTTGTCAGAAAAACTGAGGGAATACAATCAGTGACTATAACCAACCACTTTGGAGTTTGTACTATCACCAAGGAAGTAAGAAAACTGAATTCCCAGATCTACATTAGGTTCACAGATACCTCCCTGAAGTATTCTACAAAACCTGCTCCAAAATGAAACAAAAAAGACAATTAGTTAAAGCTAAGATCAAATGAGGAAAAAAAAAATTGTGCTCAACAGGATGGACTGATGTGAATCACCAATTTTAATCATGATTCAGATCAGTCAGCAGGAAACCTTGATTTAATCTATTTTGACCTTATTTTGTATCCAGGCAATACTCAAAAGCTCTGTCCTCCCTGACTTTTAAAACATCTCAATTTGCAAACACATTAGTGATCATGTTAACTTTACTACTGCTTCCTACAGCGGAGGCTATTACACATTTATGCATGTTGTTTTAAAGTAACAGCATAGCTTAATAAAAATACAAAGATTAAGAATGTACAAAGGGTTAGTAGGAATGGTTATTAGATCATGCATTTCTGAAACATTATGTCCTGAAGTTGTTTCAAGCTGCATATGAAATCTAGAATTCAGTTAAATTCACAAAGTTGAAAACTCTTCAACTGAAAAGAAGCATAACATTCAGAAAAAAGGAAAACTTTACCAGACATTATGAATTTAAAGATGACTTACTAAAGCAGTGCCACACAATGTTAATAAACTGATTTTTCTGGTCAAAAACAACTAAACATTCAGAAATCCAAACAACATTAAAGTGCACTCAAAGAAGTCAGGCTGAGTCAGTTTAACCATCCACTGATACCAGAAGAGAAGTGGTCCTGCTCCTCTCCAAGACACGCATACTCCTGATTCTTCCCGTACTTGCCTGACACCTTAGGACGCCAGTTAAAATTTTTAACCCCACAGACATTCAACTCTGCAGAAGGAAAAACTTAAGTTCTTATTCCAGCAGATCAGAAAGCTGAATAACCTCAATGAGGGGCAAGAAACACTAGGAACTGGCATGAAG